TATGCATAAACCTATGCGTCCACCATGCAGAGCCACAATTACATATATTCCATGTCGAACCTAGAAAGATTAGGCATTTGTTCGCGCAGCTCACTTAACTACAATTCCATACTGTGTAAGAAGTGTCTATTCAGCGAATGAAGTTTTCAATTTGTATGTAAATTGCATAATTTTGCATTATGAGAAGTCAACTATTGTAAAACAGTAGATAAATGCTCATCAAATATGCATTTATGGTTTAATTGGGAGAGATTTAATTGAGAGAGACATTGCCCGAAATGTTCTGCATCAAGTTTCCTAAGTTATCGAAAGATGACATTTTTTTATTTCTATTTTACACTGCAAAATGTTTTATATTAGTTTTTGCACTAAATTTAGAATGGATAAATAATAGTGCAGTATATTCAAATATCTGTTTGTTGTTTTTAATTCTGTTTCATTCTATTGCATGATAATTTTTCATTCTACTACATGGTGTAAACTAGTAGCGTGTGATAGTTTATTGTGGATATTTGTGATGCAGAAATTCTCTTTCACAAATAAATCATACATCTATCTATCAGAAAGCAAATGAGATAATGACTTAAATGATGATGATTCAGGAGAAATTCTGATTTTTCATACCTACATGTATATACCAAAGTCTACTATCATTTTCCTTTTTTATTGAGTACTAGATCAATTTCATGTATTCAATATTCGTATTTTAGAATATATATGCACTTGAATGTGTATTAATTCAATTGAATTTTTAATAAAGTATGAAAGAATATTTAATTTCCTCTCCCTCTCTCTCTTTCTCGTGAAAGTTATTTTGTTTGAACTTTTTTTTTTTTACTTCAAACACTAGATATATCTGATGATGCTTCATAAATTTTTAATTTTTATTATATTCTATTTTCAAATCGTCTGTATAAAATCTGTGAAATTATATTTTCGTTACGAAAAAATAGATTTTTCTGACATCAGATGCTCAATGTTTTGTCGATACCAATTTTTGGATTTAATAAGATTTTGGACATGCAATTCTTGGTATCTTGAGATCATTAATCTCGACAAGAATGAAATCGCATGAACTGGTCATAATAAGCAACGTGTGTCTAGTGTTAATTTTGCTGATTCTTTCCTTTAACATTTATAACCAGGGTAGAAATTGAAGAGAGAGAGCATATTAACTCAATTTCAGGGGAATAGAGATGATGAATGTAATCTGAAATCAGTTTCAAACAGATGTCACAAGCATAGTACTTTAATTCATTTATAATTTTTATATGGTGGATATATATGAAAGAAATTGAATAACTGAAATATAATTAGTGTATAAAAAGAAGAAGCATAAGAGATGGTGTTCTTAGTAATGAAAGGTTTACAAAAAATAATACGGGCTACATGTACTAGGTTATTAAAATAGCTATTGCATTAATATATTGGTTTATAAGATTTTGATTTTAACGAATGATATTCATGATTATTGAAAGCAGAATGTTTTTTAATTGTGAAATTCTTTAAGAACACTACATCTCCTGCAATTTTAGCTTTTTTCAATTTTAGTATAAAATGCAACCAAACTATTCTTTATTTTATTTCCGTGTTCAATGTTGAAATGATTTTTGAGAATAAGCCATAGAAATATTTTAAAAGATTATTCCTCCTAGAAGTTTTAACTGATTTCAAATAAAAGTTGGTATAGAAATTGGACTAAATCAAGGACCTTAATCTTATTTATTCGTGCTTTTGTTGTGACTTTTTTTTTCAAACACACATGCTATTGTTTTCTTAGCTCAATATAAGTAAAAATGGAACAAACGTCAGTTTCGGTATACATGTAACATGTAAAAGAAATGAGGCGCAGTTAGAGTGTTTTATTTAGTCAGTTTTTGTGTATCGCTTTTGTATTTAATTGGATTTAAAAAAATGATAAGGTCAGGTTAGTTGTGAAATATGAACATTTATTAGTTCTTTTCCTGAACTCTGACGTCATAAAGGTTTTAAGTACATTAGGTAGACAACTGTTTGGAGTTTCAACTAAATCACTATACAAGACAGAGGTGTTGTGCATTAGCTACAGTGTACATTCTCAACATTGGTGCCGTGACAAAAGATTTCAAAACTTAAAGCAGTCCGAATAGGACAAAAAAGTTCAGTAACTAGACTTTTAAAGAGACACGAATGATATGGTTCTCAGGTAAACATTGAGGATATGGACACAATTTTGGAGACACTGATAGAGAAGCAAAATTTTTCAGATATCTCAATGAAAAAAAAAAAATAGCAGAAACAGCAGAGGGGGAAATTGAGAATGAAATATTCGATACAATGAGTACAATTTCAATAGAAATTCTATTGTACGGAAATTAAAGAAACGTCTGTTAGAACATAAATCAACTTTAAATGCAACTGCCTACAGTTACTCAGTTCATAATGAGAATTCACAAATCAGAGAGAATGATCAGTCATCACATTATTTCAGTTGATATTCTCGAGCTAGTAAGTCTCCTTCACAAGCTTTCATTTTAATTTTAATTCCAGTAGCAATGCCAACTTTCACAAAAAAACCAAAACTCAATTTGCCTATTTTTGAGGGATATATATTAGAATGGCTGTCTTTCCGGGATTCATTTGATTAAAATATTCATAGCAACAACAAGTTGAGTGAAGTACAAAAGTTTAACTACATAAAGTCTTGAGTAGAAGGAGGGGCATCAAACACCATTGTAAGATTTGAACTCACACATGCAAATTTCAACAAAGCAATTAAACTTCAACAGGAAAGGTTTGGACAAAACACAAGAGAGTTCAGTCCTTCAGGCAAGCACGTTTAGATATATCTACTTCGAAGAATAATCTTAAGCCTGCATTACTTTCATGATCAAGTGGAGACATATGTCAGGGGACTAGGATCCTTTGGTCAAGCCCATGCCCCAAGACCATAAACTGAGAATAGACTTAAGTCAAAATATTGATTTTTAATATCTTGAGTTTTCTTCAATGTATTTGCTTAAAAATTTGCAATTTTATGTAACATTTAAATTCAAACATATGATAAAAGTTTTGTTTCATTATCAAAATTATTTCAAAAGTTATATTGGTTAGAAACTTTGACTTAAGTCTTTTCTCAGTTTATGGTCTTAGGGCCAGGATTCATATGATTTACTTCTTGTGCCTGTTATTCATAACAAATTTCCCAGTGAATTGCGAAAAAAATTTGCACGTGAACATGGCTTTACTGATTGATTTCTAGGTGACTTAAGAAATAGTATCTACAGGGAACTTCACGTATTAGAAGTTGTAATACAGATTGACGCACAAGAAGAAGTGCTGTAGCTATTTTCTACATAAACGCAAAATCCAGTGATGAGCAAATACAAGGAACTACAGTCCTCGGAAACATAAAGATTGCTGTGCATTTTGCAAAGAGTCGCATTATTCAAATGGCTGTACACGATAGCAAAAACACAATGACCGTTTGAAAATTGTCGAACGAAACAATCTTTGCTAAAACTGATTAGGCAGCTAATGCACAACATTGGTCAATAATAAAAAAAATCACTTTTATTTATTTTCATTTCCACACAGCAAAAATATGTATTTATTACGATATCCATCACGGTTCAGATTTGTTTTATGCAAATTTAAGGACATACGCAACGTACCTTACCTACTGATAATTTTTCAAGATATTCTTAATTTAAGATTATGGTGCCATCAGATGTTCGTAGACAAAAAATCAGCATGCATTACCAGGGGTTTTGAAAAGATATCAATTGATGAAAATTCTTGTATAATTCAAAGAAAAATATACAAAAATTACTAAACATATATTCTAGATGTTTTATTTATCCTAACTTGTTTTCGAAGAAGTGTAAAATAGCATATATAGACATTAAAATGTAGCACACATTTCCTTCAAGTATTGGAACTCTTCAACAGCAGGAAAAAAGACAATAAAGTTCAACCTACGTTGCGTTTGTCCTTAAGTGATGATGTGAATAAAAATTGGAAGGTTTTGACGATTTGATTTTTTTAAAGAAAGAAAAGATATTTAATAAATTCACTAGCTCTTGGAGAAAGTTGAAAAGAATAGGAATGTTTTTTCTACAATAGTTTTTATTTTAGAAACCGGGGTTACCGTTCACTGAAATCAAACACTGATGAAAAAAAAAACAAAAAATCTTATAGCGTCTACGTGTGTACCAGATCAGACCCGTCTGTGAGAGAAATTCCATTTTGAAAGCTCAATTAACAGATGGAAAGACAAACAGATGATCGGACGACAAACATTTTAGCAAATATTGACTAAAAGATCTAAATTGAACATCCGTTGACGTCTCCTTATTTCTAAGATTTTTCTGATAGGAAAAGTCTTCTGTCTGAAGGCAAACAGTTCAAGAAAGGATGGTGGCGCAGTGGTTAGAGCGTATGCTCTAGGACCCCGGAGTAAGAAGTTGGTTTTTACGTCGCGGGTTTGAATCTCACAGCGGGATGTGGGGAGCGGTCCGTCGGATGAGACCGTTAAACCGAAGTCATTTGTCGCAGTACCGTAGATAATGGCACGGAGAAGATCTCTTACCGTTTAAAGACCTTAGTGCCGAGTACAGGTCTAAATTTGCCGACCTCCACCGGCAAGTGTTGGCGTCTCGATATTAGTAAAAAATTGAGGAAGGGACATTTAACAAACAAACAAAATAATAATAAACAAACGATGCATTTTCGTTAATACATTTACTTGACCACAATATTTTGAATAGGAAAAAAATTCTGAATGCTTTCCCTTCCTTTTGAGAAATAGATATCTCTTCTCAATTTAACAAAAAAGGGAAAGAAAACCATAGCAAAGATGCGAAGCAAAACAAAATCAATGAAAAACATTATTTTGCATGGTTTGCACAACGCATTTAGGACTTTTTGTCGTACATCTAGGATCCTGTTTATTGTTTCCTTGCTTTAATTTATCATCAACACACGTGTAAAAAAGGAAAACACTTTTATTTCTATGGTGCTCATTTAACCATCATTCGAACAGAACGAACATGAGTTCCATCCATAAATATTGGCTTCCAAGGAAACACCCAGGTTAAACTTCCGTAGGGACCCGTGAGGAGGGCTAAATGACACCCGTTGAACCACCATCCACCTCCTCCTCCCATGTCGTTGGAACAGGATTGCCATGATTTGTCCTGATCCTTGTCTATGGTTGAAAACTTCATTCCATTCAAATTTAAACTAGGTATAATGGGTGTCATTGCGTCACCTTAAATATAGATCAATTATTATCCATCAAACACAAGTATATTAAAAAGTTAAGAAATGCAGATTTGGAATCTTTTAATAAGAAAAAATGTCGCCGTACTTAAGGTAGTTCAAAATAGATAGGCCAAATTTTTCCTCAAATTCAATTTTGTTCAAACTGATATTTTGTTTTAGGATGTAAAATCTCTCTTTATACGTAATGAAAGAAGTTTGACCATATATTTGTTGCCCACATAGTTTGAAATATTGCTTTTCAGACCCCTGTAATAAGCATGTGAAATTAGAAAGCCAACCTGAGATTTTGTGTTATTTAAAAATAACCAATTGATCTATTGCAAACTTGTGTAATGCTATTTATAAAGGCAACCTTTATGTACAAAAATTTAGTAAAATATTTTGATACCGGTATATTTGACTAAAATCTGATATAAAAATAGAACACAAACCTAGCCCGGGAATTGAAAATTCACATGTAAATAATCCGCACATTAAGTCCTCTTTAAAGAAATTGTATAATTTATTTTTTACAAAAAATCAACAGAATAATTGAAATGCAACCTAAATTAGAATATGTCAAATAAGGAAATTGGAACTGGCAGTTTCAGATATTTTGGCAATTTTAAATAAATAAAACGACCTTAACCAAAAAGATTGGAGACTCCATTTAAATATGTCCAAATATCAGGTCTATACTACAAATGGATAAAAAGTTACTTTGCATTTCATAACAGACAGTCATATGGCATGTAGATGGCATATACAAGATCCAAATTGTAGGCTCCCGAATGATCAATATATAGGATGTCTCTATTTTTTGTTCAAAATATGGTGAAAACATGTCACGGCTTATTATTTTTCCTACAACGATCCTTGATTATTGACATTATAGTAAAATTGTTCATTTTTGTGGTGTACTTTATAACCTATGCGTTAAAACGGATTTCATGGCTATTGTGTACTACCATAAAAATAAGAATATGATTTCAAGTAAAAACTGTCTGTTGATTAAATGGGGTTAAAAATTATTACAATATAAGATTAAAAACATAAAGTATCGAAGCAAAAGAATATGAATTTTCAATTTTTAAAAAAGGGGGAGAAAAAAATGTACTTAATGTGGAAAAATTATATATCTCTTCTAATTGTAAAATTATTAGTATATATAGAATAAGTCAACAACGGATTACATAAAAGCAAATCTTTTTAGGAACTAAACTGATACACTACCAAGTGTACCATAGGCACCTCCAATACGGAGAGCATATCCATTCTCTTCGTCAGAAATTGAAAATACGTCATATTGTTCGAAGAACTTTAAACCAAGGACATGTGTAGCAGTTATATACAGCAAAGAGTTTCTCTTTCTCGTTAAGTGATGGATGATTTCATTTCCTGAAAGAAATAACTCGGAATGCATATATTAAAACATACGAAATGCTATTTAATTGGGAGTATGCAATAGATTCATGTACACTATTCGACTAATGGAAACCTTTAAAATAACTTTTTTCATACCAATCCAGTATTCAGAGGTGATATTCCCAAAACCAGATTTATATTCCATCCAGTTTCGTGCAAAACTTACGGAGCCATCTTTTCGATTCATCAGTGTCTAAAAAAAAAACCGAAACAACGACCTAGACCTATTGATTAAATCTTAAACTGACTTAGCATATTCACATCTAATTTCATTTGAAAACACATACATCCAGTACGAATTTTCTTTTTGATTGAATACAAAAAAAGTAAATCAAACTAAATTCTTTCACATTTTTCATGCCTCCGTGATCAAAGATTCGGGTACATACAGTTTTTTACCCTGTCCGTCTGTCTGTCTGTCTATCTGCCTGTCTGTCTGTGTTTGTCTGTTTGTCCGCAAAAATTTTAACCTTGCCCATAGCTTTTCATTGGTTGGAGCTATGGCTTTCATATTTCAAATGTGTATTCCTTGTGACAATACCTTTCTAGTTGTACCATTATATTTGACCTTTTGACCTTGACCTTGGAATTTTACTCAGTTTTGCAAAATTTTACCCAACTTTAACATTTTCCTTAACCTTTGAACAATTGGTGTTAGGGCTTTCATACTTTACAAATGTAATTCTTGTGACAAGATCTTCCTTTGGATACCAAGAAATCTGACCATTTGAACTTGACCTTGGAGTTTGACCTTCTTTTGGAAAACTTTAACCTTGGTCATTTCTTTTGAACAGTTGGTGCTTGGGCTTTCGCACTTAACATATGTAATCCTTGTGACAAGACCTTACTTCGAGTACTAACAACTTTGACCTTTTGACAATGACCTTGGAGTTTTACCTACTTTTGAAACCTTAAACATTGGCCATAACTTTTGAATGGTTGGTGCTAGGGCTTTCATAATCCACATGTATATTTCTTGTGAGAAGACCTTTCCTTGGGCACCATTAATTTTGACCATTTGACCATGACCTTGATGTTTGATTCATTTTTGAAAAACGTTAACCTTTTCCATATCTTTTCAATGGTTGCTGGTATGGCTTTCATATTTCACAGGTATATTCTTCGAGACAATACCTTACTTTGGGTACCAACATATTTGATTTGCATTTGAGAAAGTATAACTTCGCTTTAAGTTGTCATATAGGGGCATCAGTATTTCACAAGCACATCTTGTTTAGCTTTGTTAATTATATTCCGTTTGATGTTAAGGCAAATCCAATTTTGCAGATTAAAGGTATATATTTCTTAATATGTATATGGATACACTCTGTAATTTAAAATTTAGCTTTTGCTTAAATGATTTCTTCATTTTGTTCAAGTTCTTTTTTTCCCTTCAAGTTTAAGCAGACAATTAAAGAGTACATATTACCCCTCGAAAGAGTAAAATACTATGCATGTTTTCATGACTTAAAAAAAGATGCTTGAATTTCTGATTGACAATATCTATGTAGTTTTTGGAGATCAGGTCTTCCAACAATCTGTTGGAATTCCAATGGGCACCAATTGCGCCCCCTTATTAGCAGACTTATTTTTGTATTCATACGAGGCAGATTTTATTCAAAAACTTCTACACGAGAAGAAGAAAACACATACTGTGGCCTTTAACTCGACGTATTAGCAATTAACAATAGTTACTTTCATTCATATGTCGACTCGATATAACCAAGCGAGCTTGAAATAAAAGATACCTCAGAATCTGCCACATCTGTTTCATATTTAGATATTTTACTAGAAAAAGACGTTAATGGAAACCTAACAAAGCTCTATGATAAACGTGATGACTTTTCAACCATCAACTTCCCTTATCACCTGCATATGGGGTTTATGTCTTTCAGTTGATTCGATCGATACGCAAGAACATGGTCTACGTATAAACAATTTCTAAAAACGAGGCAAGCTATTGACAAACAAGTTGATAAAACAAAGATATCAACAGTTTCGTTTGATATCATATTTTCTCAAGTTTTACGGTCGAAACAATGACTTTGTCAGCACATACAACCTATCATTGAGTCAAATGCTGACTGACCTTTTTCTTACTTATTGTTAGGGCATTATTTATACACTGAATTGTCTACTGATTTTTCCGGGTTTTTTTTATTTTCCTGATCATGACAAGGAGCACATGGCGAGTGTGACCGGTCTGCAGGGGATGCTCATTCCTCAATGGTACCTGATTCCACCTCTAAATTTTGAGGTCCGTGTTTGCTCTGCTCCAAATTTGTATCGTTTCATTGTACTTTCGAGATTGAATACTGTTCGTTATCTTCATATTTCATTTTCACAACACTTTCACAGGTACATGTATACATGATAAATTTCATCTTTTGATGCAAGTTAATATTCAGTTAGACATACTCCGCTTAATGATATTTACACACAACAGCTATTCTTTTCTACATCGTGAATGTTTTAGGGTTAATGGGTATTTTAGACCTCTCCACAATAGTAGTATTACATGTAGTATAGTAATAGTAAATTTGCATTTCAGTTCATGTTTCGTACTTAGTTTCGATGGGTTTGATTAGTAGATCTATTCTGGTCAAGTCTATATTTTAACAATTTACAAATTTATAGGCCAGTTTATCAATATCAAATTTTAATTTGTTTTATCAAAATAATTATTGTTCATGAAATTAAAGTTTCTTTTATATAAATCCAGGAATTGTATTTGGTGCATCATTAATGTCAGTACTGGTTTAATAAACTTTTCTTATATTTTACTGTTTTACTGTTTAATTAAATGACTAAAACTGTGATGATAGATATATATATTGCAAATGTAAAATGTTCAAATTGGAATTCCGTTTTAAGGGAATAGGTTTACCTTACATTGATCGATCTGTGTTCGAACTAAGTGACTATGTCTGAATGTCCTTAAATGATTAGCTATCAAACAATAGGTAACTGTGTTTGGCGTAAAACGTTTTAATGTCATCATCACGGAATATCTAGTATATATTATTTACACATGTCAACATCACATTTCATTGAAAATTATGGCAATAAACAAGCAAGAATTTGATGTTATATATAAACAAGCTAATTCAGAGAATTTGTGTCCCCCCGCTTAGGGAAAAAAGAATATGGATGTAAATATTTGATTGCTTATTCTTTAATATGTGTTCATAAGATTCTTTTTAATATACAGAATATTAATCACACTGTAATAATGATTTTATGAGTTTGTACACGCCAGACATCATAACTTTTCCATATCACATGTTGAAAAGTATCATTTAGTAAATCAAAAAAAAAAAATGATAAATAAAAAAAAGATAGAATTGTCCGGGGATTGAATCCGAGCCTCTCGCTTGCTAAGCGAGCAACATACCACTAGACCACGGAGGCACTTTACATCCAATTAAATGCAAACATATAGTAACATATAATGTTTATATTCACGTTTTGATATTGTCAAAATTTTACACAATAAATGTTGTCTAATTTAGCCTTTACTAAACAGTTCTATTAGATGTAATTAGAATATAAAGTCCGCCGACAACCTGTTTTTTGCGTAATAACTATCCACATGCCCCTGTGCTAAAAAAAGTGGCAAGCGACTTTTAATACAATAAATAAATAAAAAAAAAACGGGATGGGACACTTTGAGAGGGGCAAGAGAGGCCATAGGGAGTTATGGTATAAAATTTCATTGCAAAAGCTCAAAAGCTTCTTAAGATATCGCCCGGAAACGAAAGTGTTACACGCAGACGGAATTTATGAAATTACGACCTTGAACTCGACCTTTTTACCTCAAAATCAATAGGGGTCGTCCTTAGGCCACATGGAGTTGTTGTGTAAAATTTTATTGCAAAAGCTCAAAGAATTCGCGAGATATCGCGCGGAAACGAAAGTGTTAAAAAAGACAGAATTTATGAATTTATGACCTTGACTTTTGACCTTTTGACCTCAAAATCAATAGGGTTTTTCTTTAGGCCGTAGGGAGATGCTTTGCAAAATTTCATTGCGAAAGCTCAAAGGGTCCTCGAGAGTGTTACAGACAGACAGAAATAGAGACGGACGGACGGACGGACAGACAGACCCAAGTTAATATCCCCATTTTCAGCGAAAGCGGGGGACAATAAAATCTTTTGAGGCGACAAATGTTTTTTTTTTTTCTTTTAATTATAATGGCCCATAAATTGTCATAATACAATATTACTGTGCAGTGTATGTTTGTGGTAGTGACAAAAAAAGCAAATCAAAACAAATATGGATGTAAAGAAAAGAAAAAATAAAGAAAATAAAGAAATGCATGTAAATATTTACCGTCCAGCCTCCCCCCTTTGTTTCCATATCACACACAACATCAGTGGGTTGATCTGTTAATGGCTGAATTGTATATACACCTGACGCCCTGATACCACTATCAAATAGTTCTTTACAGTCAAACGCTGAATATAAAAACGAATACTGTAAAATAAACTACAACACATAATTTCTTAAAATCACATAAGAAATCCAAATTTATGAAATTTACTACCTTTTTTTACGAGATACTTCCATCCATCTCCTGGCGCTCTCATGATGTTGAGGGGGCATCTTTCATGAATGCGGCATTTCTTTAATCTATCATTGTAACCGAAACAAGTACATTGTTCATTGCATCCGCCAGCACAGGTTAGCCGTGAATTTCCAGAAAATATTCCTATTAAAGAACTGTCATCAGGTTTGTCGTCAAGTTTGGAATAATCTAAATAAGACTGTGAAATGGATTTTGAGGAAACTATTAGTTTCGGCAAAAGTACAAAGATAATCGTTAATGTCACCAGAACGAAAAACACATCCATAGTTGGGAATAAGGAAGGAGAATTCGGTGATAATGTTAACACATATTTGTCCTTTTGTATCTCAATCTGCATATGGTTATACCTTTGTCTGTTTGATAGGCATGAAACTATCCGCCAACCTTTTATTGCCTAGGTGATTGCTTTCTAATTATGAATTGATGGATCTCTCAGTCTGTAGGTAGTTCATGTGACTGTGAAGAAATATTTCAGATATTCGGGTAACGTCTGATTGGGAAATACAGATATGGTATTCAAACCAAATTTATTATTATAATGAAGTGGGTTTAAATTCCCGAACTTGGAGACTGAAATAAAACCAAACATTATATATATATATATATATATATATATATATATATATATATATATATATATATATATATATATATATATATATATATATATATATATATATATATATATATATATATATATATATATATATAAACACAACCATATTGAAATAAATATGTTTTCAGTTTCATTGAATAACGAAACAGGTAGCTGGATCAACGATATTTTTATAAAGTTGTGTGCTTTATATTGTTATATCAACAATTTCATGAATATAATTTTTTTTCAATTTTTAAAATTGATAGTAAAAACTTTTAATTTTCATTAAGACTTTGTTTCGAGATCAAATTAAAACACCTTAAGCCCATAACGTTTTATATACAGGTGACTCTCGAAATCTCGAAGTTCAAGGGACCGCAAGAAAAGTTCGAGAGATCGAGGGGTTCGAGAGATAGAAAGTGAATAAAATCAGGAAATTTCAGTTCCGATCATCATTGTTCTACTATCATAAATAACGGAAGTATATGTTGATGATCCCATTGCACGTTTTCACTCGTATTTAATAGGTAATTCACTTTATTTCAACAACAATGATAATATTTTTTAATAAATAAAACGATCTCTTTAAGTTTCAATATTTATCTGTACTCATTTCATGATTACATGAAACCTAAATAGAAATCGTCGGTATGGCTATCCCCCGGGATTGATCGGGTCCTTCACCAGATTTCTCGTATTAAATCGATGTTCAATTCTTGAGATAGGATTTCTTGTGCAATGTTTGTCAAAGTGGGATTATGTAGACTCTAATAAAACTTCATAATTTATGGAAAATTATTGACAAGTCTCTTAAATTATTTTCTAAAAATTATCGTCTCGCTGTCAAGTCAAAGTCAAATATGCAATTTGTTTATAATTTAGCAATTATAACCAATTAATTATATCAACACTCGGATGCTCACAGGTATAGTGTCATCTATGTAAACATCCAGCTAACACCTCTATGCCGGCCCAAGGCGTTCAAGTCCAAGCTGCATTAATTTTACGCTTGATTGGCGTGTACATATGCGCAATCAAAGCTTCGATCGATAGAGAGTAAAAAACAATGAAATGTGTGTAACGGGACCAAAGTCTTGGTTCGAGAGATAGAGAACTTCGAGAGATCAGAAGTAAATTTGCTTAGTTATAGAGAGGAAAAAACGGGACCGGAGGTTCACTTCGAGAGATCGAGAACTTCGAGAAATCGGAGTTCTAGCCATCGAGAGTCACCTGTACGTTGATTTATCCTTGCATTGTATTTCTCACTATTTGATGTCAATAAAAATTCACTACGTATAGTAATCATGCTAAAAAGATTTTCTTTAAAAATAAAACTGACCTGGAACCCAAAAAATGTAGAATGAAATTATGCAAATTAAAAAAAAAATGTGTCCTTCGCATTAATCTGCTATATTTCAGAGTTATGGTTAATTTGAAATGGCATATGGAATTACTTTCAACTGAAAAGTTTATACTTTTTCATCCTTACTATGCGTATTCGTATCTCACTTTTTGATGTGATATCAGGTCCTTCGGATGAGACTGTATAAACCAAAGTACTTTGTCGGTGAAGATGTTAGTAGAAACAATTTTTCAGTTCGTAAGTGCTAAAAAAGGTGTAGATTTATAGCCTTTCGACGGGAAAAGGTATCTCAATGACTAAAAGAATATCTGGATCTGACTTAAAGCAAAGAAACAAATTGAAAGCAAAAGTTATGGTTACTCTTGTTACAATTTTCCAACATGCATATGATGAGACTTTTTTATATCAGATTATGTGTTGATATTTGACTTTTTTAATTTGTTTTTGTTAAGATAACCAAAATTTCAATTGCATCAAGAAATTTCCCCCGAGGAGTACTGAAAGGCTTTTAAAATGTAAATCATTGTTCCTAAAGACGTTCTAGCATGAAAGTGATTTTGTTTTTCTGTGACTTAAAATAAAAATGCACTGCACGACTTTTGAATGATTACAAAATGGTTTTTCTTAACATATTTCGTGCTCACTAGATAAACAGAATGATAAAACTTCTGTAGTCGAAATAGTTTCATTATTTTCAAAAGCATTTATCATTCCAAAATATTCCGTTAGCAATTAAATTGAATTACACAACTTCAGCGTGTTGCATAATATGGCATTCTCATTGATCATCAGTTTCCACATATTTATTATTCATTTTAATGTTTAAAAGTCAAAAAGACGAATGGAAAGTTGAACGCTATATTCCATAATTTACATTGCAAAAATGGTATTTACTTTTGGCACCGTTACTGCCTACAGTACCTACTTTTTAATACTGTTTATTCTCATAGCATAAGTACGTCAGTCGATATGCATATGCACTTTTGTTTTCCCTCATTACATATTACAAAATGAATGATTTATTTTTTCAATGTTTCAATATCATCTACATATAATTAGCGTTAGATAAAAAATCATTTCTGCAAGACGATCTAATTACATTCAATGAACTTGTTCCCTATGCGCAAATACTTTTTAACTTAAATAATCAAAGGGCAGATGCAGATTCATATCACTTAACGTTGATGAGTATCAATTACTTCAAAAAGGAAAGGTATTGATTTTACATTGATTAATAACTTATCTTTGAAGGTTCCCCCAAAAGTTCTTGGAAAGTCGTGACTTTAGTAAAATTACTCCTAATTAATAGTTGAATGTTACTAAATATTCGTAAATGAAATACGATATTATGTTTATAAGCGAGTTATTTTTTAAATAAATTTTCAACAAGAAGACTAAATTATTAATCTCTGAATGCTCCAAAATAAAAGAGCTCGGAGCACGTCAATTTTTGTTAAGATTTTTGAACATTTCTAATATTTAGAAACCGTTTTTTTTTTTTTAAATAGGAATCATTATATGATACTGTAGGTTCGAGGAGTAAAATTACTGTTGTCTCCATCCGTTATTTGCTCTCATATAGCAAACCGAAGGATACTTTTTAGGAGTAATGTAAACATAGGAAGAAAAGTGAAATCGGACATTTAAAAGGAACAATCCGAGGTCAAAAAGTATTGTACTGATGTTAAAATGATTGATGATAAAGCCACCAAAAGCAATAATGTGTGATGACTTCTTCATGAAATCATCATTAGTTAAAACGTAATATAATTAAAATTAAGAATTTTACGTTGAATACTGGTCAACTACATTAAATATAAATATAATTAATTCATTTGCAAGATTTCGTCAGGTTCGCAACACTTTTCAAATATCTTCGTACATCTTGAGCTTATGTATAAAAGCTTGTTATGATCCACTGAGTGTATTCTCTTGCAATATATCGATTTATTAAGACTTTCTATTATCCCTACAATGAATGGGCACAAATATACAAGTATCACAGGGAATGTAAAGTATATGAATAAAATCATAAAAAAACACCGCATCCAAGTTAACCGTCTATTTTATATTTGCAAATAATATTTTATTTGATACAAAATACATTTTTTTCATTGTATAAAATATAACTCGATCCGCCTCGAACTGCATGCATTACGATATGACATCACATCGACAAGTGTGTTGCGATCAGTGATTTGTTTATATTTTATTGTGTGGGATTTAACTACCGACAAAAATACAAGCAATAGTAAGTGTTGCTGTCTGTTAAAGCTACCCAACAGTTTAAAATAGCAAATCATTTCATTTTGTGGTAATTTGAAGAACTGATATTTTTGTGTGATGTCATGGAAAACATTTCCCGTATAAATTAGGCCCCGCCTCTTTTTTGTAGCCTTAGCTGTGCTGTGTAATGACATTTCTTGTACTGGCTTCCATGTTCATGATAATGTAACTTTTATTTACCCGCGGATTTCTCTCGCTCATTTCCGTAAATGTTAAAAAGGAACGAATGTTTTCTAATCCCGCCAACAGTGTGGCTTAAAATACTTCATAGCCGTCCGACATATCATCGACATCGATATTTTTTGACCACCCAGCAGAATATTGGAAATGTTTTTTATTATTATAGATTCATATAAAACATTTTCTAAAGGTAAAAAAAAATAGATATTTCGGTAGATTAAATCCTTCAGATATTCATTAGTCTGATATGTTGAACTCCGCACTAGAAGCATGTTTTAAAATTTAATTTCCTTGTAAATTCCATTTATTCCATGAACAGGATATAACTTTTAAATAACTTTTTGAAAACCAATCATATTTCATGTGCACTTTTGAAATTACATGACAGGGATGGGAAATGAAATCGGAAAGAAATATACATTGAAGAGAGATTGAAAATGAAATAAAATGGTCAATCTGCAACGCAGTAATTGGAGATATACCCTTTTCAGTAATTATGTTAAAATTACTTTATCTAGCATCAACTTCACAAAGATGCGATTGATGAGCAATATTTTTCGTTTCTGAATATGCATGATCCTAAATATCCGATCGATATAAAACATAATGATTCATTTTATATGAAAAATATTTGAGGCCATTCAATCAGCGTGTTTTCATTCGGTATATACATACTATTGTTGAATATAAATAAAATATTTGTTCACAGGCCTTCAAGAGACATCGTCTGTTGTTACGGGTGTACGTGGAATGATACTATGAAAAATTGCGTCAGTAGTATATGTACACTGCACGCATTTTGAATAATTTATTATATGCAATCAGTGTTTGTGTGTTT